TATCTATATATTATGCAAATATATATAGATATATATATATGATCATATATCTAATATATATATTATACGTATATATATATATATTATATGCCCTACTATATATCTACTATACTATATATATATATCTATTTATGCATATATCACTATATATCTTATATATATATATGCATATATCTATCATTTATCTATAGATATATATCTATATATTAATTATAATGCATCATATATATATATGTATATATATATATATATATATATATATATATATATATATCCATGTCTCTATATAGATATATATATATATCTATGCCTATAATATTCTATACTATCTATATATCATATATATATATCTATATGCTATATCATATATCTATAGATATATATATATACTATCTACTATATATGATGCATATATATATATATATATACTACAGAATATCTATATATCTCATATATCTAGTATATATCTAGATTGCATATAATTCTCTATTATATATGCATCTACTATATATCATATATATATATATATATATCTATACTGTATATATATATATATATATTAAATATGCATATATATATATTATATAGATATGCCTATATATATATATATCTATATATATCTATATATAATATAATATATATATATATATTATATATGCATATATCTATCATCTATATACTATATATATATTATATATATAATATATATTATATATATACGTTGCATATATATATATATATATATATATGCCCTATATATATATATATTATATATAGTGCTAGATATCATATATATATATATATAATATATATATCTATATATATATATATATATATAGTATAACTATATATATAATGCATATAAAAATATATATCTATATATATGTATATATCGATATATATATATATACTATTAATATATATATATAGATATATATATATGCATATATATTATTTATATAGATATATTGCATATATATAAATTCTAATATACTAATATATACTATATATATATCTAGATATATTATATATATATATCTATAGTGCTTCTATATATTCATATATACTATGTATGCATAGATCTACGATCATATTATATATATAGTATACTATATTTCTCTACGATATATCGATATTATATATCTAGGCCCATATATAATATATAATATATATATATATATGATGCATATATATATATATATATAATTATATATAGGCAATATATAGTCGACTCTAATATATATATATATATATGCATATATATATATAGATATATATATATGTCATATATATATATATAGATATATAAATATATATATTATATATAATGCATATATATATATATATATATATTAGATATATCTATATATATCTTATATATAGTATGCATAAGATATATATATGTATATATAATATATAGTATATAGATATATATATATATTATGCTATATATCTCTTATATGCATATATCTATATATCTGCATATATACTATATATATATGCATATCTCTGTCTCTCATCTATAATGATCTATATATCATATATATTATATATATACTCTCTCTGCATCTCTATTATATTATCATATCGATATCTATTATATATACTATATATATAATATCTATATAATCTGGCCTCTCTCTCATATCTAGCTCTATCTCTCTCCTCTATATCTGCCTATATATCTCATATAATATATCTTCTCTTCTTGCTCTCTATCTCTATCTATATATATATATGCATATCTATATATATATCTCTCTATTATCTATATATACTATATCGTATATAGTATTATTCTACTGCATATATCTTCTGCCTCTATCTCTACTAATATATCTCTATCTATATATATATCTCTATATATATCTATCTCATAATGCCTCTATATATCTCTCTATATATATAAATCTATATTCTCTATATAGCTATATATCTATCTATCATATATACTATATATCTGTATCTGCATATAGATACTATCTCTATTATATTCATAATATATATCTCTATATCCTAATATATATATATATATATATATATATATATCATCTCTATATATCTCTATATCTCTCTGCCTATAATATGA